GCTACCAAAATCTGACTAGGATCCATTTTGCCTGTCCACTGCCTCTAATCACCTCACTAGTCGCTGAGTATGTTTCGTGCATGTCCCCATTCATGAAGTAATGTACGTAATCGTGTGAGTAAGATAACAATCGCTCATCATCAGTTGCAATTTTGCAGGTCTAAAATGATTAGTATGTGAAACTAAACTGTGAAACTCTTTTAAAACTACGATTTAAGCTTGTCCCCACCTCTAGCGGGAAGGTTGCTGCCAAAATATTCTCAACTCTGTTCTGCTCTAGTACAATATCAATCCGGGCATTATTGAGTACCTCGCCGTTCTCCTGGTCAGGTACGAAACGTAAGAGTCTACGTTCTTTCTGAATGATTTTTGTTGAATCCGGTAAAATTGGAGTGAGTACCTCCATATTCAACCAGTCAGAAAATGGGCCATCTGTTATCTGTCCGGAGGAGTTGGAAGAGCCAACAAATAATGCGGAGAAGAATAACGATTCGCGTGGATCAGGCAGTTCAGACTGAAAAGAACACGAAGAAATGACATATCAAGCTAAAATTTTGAAAAAGAAATTGTTGGAGTAGGAAGCAGAACTCACCTCCAGGGTGCTGTCCCAATAAGGAAGCCCAAGACGACTGCCGGCCGGCAGATATCGCCGAAATACAATCTCAAATCTGATTTTGAAATATTTTGTGCATCTCTTACTCATGGATATCTTACCTTTTGAGGTACTCTCGGTGCCAAGTGAAGAAACCGGGTCCTTCGTGTACTCCACTGTACTTGTGAACAAAACCGATGCGATCATAAACACCAGCTGTTTTCATCTTATTGAATGCGATCTGCAAAAGATATCGTAATGACTCTGGCGATCTTAGTCATTGTCTTATTCTCCTCTCCCTCTTCCACTCACCGCAATTTGGAAACGTTCGCTGTCTCTGAGCTGCCTTGCCTCCTTGCGAATCGCCTTTTCAAGGATCTTGCCATTTTCTAGCACACATTTAGACGCTGAGATTTCCCCTGAGAAGAGGTGACAGATCAAATAAACAAAATAAATAGAAAATCACGATGCTCGGCTGTCATGGGTATGAGTGGCGGAATAGCTATCGGCGGCTCAGCTATAAGCTCTACCGCGATTCAGTATTGCCTTCGCCAATGAATGAACAATAAATGGTGCAGGGAAAGATAGAGGCATTGTCCAGGTCAAATGGAGGGTATTGGGGTCTTGACGCAGTGTGAGAGCACTGCTCCTGACTAACGCA